CCCCAAAACCCCAAAACCCCAAAACCCCGACGATCAATGTTTGAAATTAATATTCTTATTATTTAAGTATTATTTTAATAGAAATCAAATTTAATACAGAATCGTTTGCTTGAGAAGTTTTTCATTATAGAAATTATTGTTGATCAAAGCCAAGTGAATCTTGACTTGGAACTACAGTATAGGTCAAGTTAAATAGTCTTATCCTTTGTTAAGACAGAACTATAGTTGTGTCTGAAAGATCTTTAGGTATTTATGGTTGAATAATGAAGTCATTTGTAGCAGGAGTCTTCCAGTTAGTCTTTGTCTTTACCATATCTGAATAGAGTTAATTTCCAGAAAGTGCTAGCTCTGAGATAGCTACAGTCATCTTGACTGGCTTCTTTAAGTTTGCTGAGTTGAAGTACTTTGTAGCCCAATCTAGAAGGTCAATAGTAATAGAGGTGTCCTTAATATCCAGACCCTTGTAGTCTGTATCGAACTTATCACCAATGTTCTCAACTCTCAATAAAATTTAGTTTCTATCTACTGGGAACGTTTCAAATTTAAAGGTAGGTGGCAACACAACATTTTATGATGAAGAGATCTTGTTGAAATTTAGATCAATCTATTAAAGTGACTCAGATTATTAGCTCGATTTAAATTGAGTTGTGAAAAATAGCTGAAGGGGTTCATCCACTTGAAGCTGAGCAGTTCTTTGGAGTGAGAAATCTAAATCCCTTTCGAAAAAGTGAAGTTTATAAGTTGCTGGGACTATTATTCCATTTCCATCTGGATCTCTTTCATTAAGAGGCTCACCTACCCCACGCCAGTCGTCATTGAAAAGTCTCCTGTTTTGCATCAATTCAATTCTACCCTTTTGCAATACAGCTCCACCTTAAGATCTATCATTCATAACTGTTAACTATAGTTTCTTGGTCTCATCAACAATAGCGATTGCACTATTAATTGGATAATAATTGCCTGAACTTTTTTCTGATGTTGAAAAAGTCCACGTTGGTCTATAATTTAGTTTTCTCTATTACATTTCGAGAGCATTTGAGTCAGTGTAAAAGATGTCTTGGTTATCAATATCAAGAGATAAGAAATTAACTGTGACTTCAAGGCCTTGTCCTGACTGTTCAGGAATGCCATATAGAATTACATCCCACTCTGATGTGAATGATTAATCATAGTATCTGGCTCTTACGAGTGCTTTCCTTGATCCATCTTGGTTACTGAAAGTCATTTGGATTTCAGAGGTGAATTTTCCAGTAAAAGATTTAATATCACTCATGTCTGCATACTTCAAAGAATCTTGAGCATTTGTATCTGGCTTAAAAACGTAGGCTCCACTTGGGCAATCGTCTTTACCTCCAGGAAAGCCATTATATGATCTTAAGTCAAAACCAATTTGATATGTCTTTCCACTTTTTACTTTTATGAGATTGAACAAAACTCCTAGATTTTTGTCATATTTTTAGAAATCTAGAGTTTCTTGGTTTCCACTAATTTTATGAGCTTAACCTGAGTCATCCTTTACTTTCAAATCTGTACTGCTATCGAATTTCAATTAGATGACTGAAATTTAATTAGCCTGAGTTGTAGTCTTTACATGCAATTCACAGTCTTGGACAAAAGATCCTTGCTTGCTGTATCTTCCAGCGCAGATAATCTCTGCAGAATCTTTAGTTATGTCTACGAATCCTTTTTAAGTGAAATCCCAAGCAGAGACTTTGTAATTAGAAAATTATACTTTAAGCTTGACATACAACTGATCAACTGAAGACGGATTGTGAGCAACAACGATATGATCTGCATTGCCGAAATCATTAATTGGGCAGTCCAGATAGGTACCGTTTGTTCTCTAGCACCATTACCAATTACTTGCTTTGACTGTAGTCTATGATTCAATTATTTCATCAATTAATGATGCGTATAGGGGATTGCTATTTTGAACTGCTTGGAAGACTCTCCAGTTGTAATCATCAGCCACATGTTACTTTGCAGTACCAGAGACTCCATCATGATGCTAGTTGACACCCATAGCATCAAGAAGTTGGTGCTTAGCATCAAAGATCTAGTTAAGAGTATCATTTGAAACAGATTGATCTAGAACTTTCATTGAGGCTACTTTGGTAAAAGCATGAAGATTAGAAGATCCGTCTCTAACTTATTTCTTTGAGTTAGCTCTTGACGTGAAGTATCCAGTCCAGAAGTCTTTATCCCCGTCTGCATATGGGAACATATCATCGTACTTTACTGGGTATGTTAGATCCTAAGCCTTAACTGCGTCCAAATAGATTCCTGGAGTTGAGTAAAGAAGTTGGAATTCTGTCACATGAGAGTTAAAGTAATCTACCAGTCTGTCCATTGACATGAAATTCATTCTTGCATTTGGATACGTGAAATCACATCCCATAGTAAGCATCAAGTGATTTCCTTAATAATGATCTGCCATGTGAGTAACATAGTTAACCATTTCTTGAACTTTATCATCTGCGTTAAAGGTCTCTAATTCTGAATCACTAACAACTGGATCATCACCGCTGAATCTATCATCATAGTCAAATCCAGGAGGATAGCAGTAGTGATCCTGCATAGCATGAGTCCAGATTTAAGTGCTAGTACCAAGATGCTAGAACATTGGTCTCCAGACGAATTGCATTGACTTCTCACCCAATCTTTTTTATTTGTCTTGGTAGTCTAATCTGGCAAAGAACCAAGCATCAAATCCCATTTCAGCGAACAATCTTGGGTTAGCGTTAGAATGTCCGAAGGGATCAACGTGCCAACCGATTCTGGGCTTAACTCCGAATTCTTTCATTAAGAAATCATGGCCAATCATCATATTGTTCATCATGTCCTCGTAGTGTGGACAGGCCTCATCATGCATGCTCCAGCCAGCATTAACGAACTCTAGTCTTCCCTGCTGCACTAGCATTCTAACGTTTGCTTTCATAGTATCATCTTGCTGTGACCACCACATTGAAAAGAATTTCATCTCAACATAGGTGAATCTTTTCTTAGGGTCCTTGAGTAGTTCATCTACGACAGTAGATAAGATCATATGGACTTCAACTTAAACTACATTTTAATGAGTGCCTGAAAAGTACTCATCAACTGTCTTGAGCCAGCCTACATCGTCATGGGTATGAGAGATAAGATGCACGTAAGTTATCCCATCCTTATAAGTATTTTTTAGTTTTTCAAAATAGGCAGGGGAATGACCATGAGTAAAATCATTGTCTCTTGTTGTAGTTCCTTTGACTTGATTTGCTGCTAGAGCACAAATACCTAGGAGCTAAAGCAAATGATTAAGCTTCATATAGATATGGATATTTATTATTATTGCATATTCTATTAAATCTAACAATATCCTCTTTGCGGGGTTTTGGGGTTTTGGGGTTTTGGGG